CCCCACACTCCTCTATGCAAATGTGGGGGGACCAACCAATGGCGTTGTGGGGGGGGAGTCTCACAAACCCGGGTCCTGTTTCTTTTTTTTATTTTAATTAATTATTTTTATGGCTGAGCTGTGGTTTATTGGTTGATTTTTTTTCTTTTTTAATTAATTAATAAATTTATTTTTATGGCTGAGCTGTGGTTTATTGGTTGATTTTTTTTAATTAATTAATTTATTTATTTTTATGGCTGAGCTGTGGTTTATTGGTTGATTTTTTTTCTTTTTTAATTAATTAATAAATTTATTTTTATGGCTGAGCTGTGGTTGATTGGTTGATTTTTTTTAAGATTTTATTTATTATGGATACAATATGGTAATTTTTTTATATTTATTGATTATGGATGCCATATCCTAATATTCTTATATTGACTGATCATGTATACACTGTTCTAATTCCTTTTATAATTATTTATTTATTATGAATGTTGTTTTTATATTTATCATGTATACAATATCCTAATTTTTTTATATTTATTGATCATGGATGCCATATTCTAATTTTCTTATATTGATTGATTATGTTTTTAATTAATTTATTTATTTTTAAGGCTGAGCTATGGTTGATTTTTTTAAAGATTTTATTTATCATGGATATAATATCCTAATTTTTTTATATTTATCATGGATGCCATATTCTAATTTTCTTATATTGATTGATGTTTTTAATTATTTATTTTTATGGCCGAGCTGTGCTTTATTGATTTTTTTTTAAGATTTTATTTATTTCTTATGGATACAATATCCTAATTTTTTTATATTTATTGATCATGGATGCCATATTCTAATTTTCTTATATCGATTGATCATGTTATTAATTAATTAATTTATTTTTATGGCTGAGCTGTGGTTTATTGGTTGATTTTTTTAAGATTTTATTTATTTATCATGGATACAATACCCTAATTTTTTAATATTTATTTATTCTAATCATGGATGCCATATTCTAATTTTCTTGTATTGATTGATCATGTTTTTAATTAATTAATTTATTTTTATGGCTGAGCTGTGGTTGATTGGTTGATTTTTTTTAAGATTTTATTTATTTATTATGGATACAATATCCTAATTTTTTTATATTTATTCATCATGGATGCCATATTCTAATTTTCTTATATTGATTGATCATGTTTTAATTAATTTATTTATTTTTATGGCTGAGCTGTGGTTGATTGGTTTTTTTTAAGACTTTATTTATTATGGATACAATATGCTAATTTTTTATATTTATTGATTATGGATGCCATATTCTAATTTTCTTATATTGATTGATCATGTTTTTAATTAATTTATTTATTTTTATGGCTGAGCTGTGGTTGATTGGTTGATTTTTAAGATTTTATTTATTTATCATGGATACAATATCCTAATTATTTTATATTTATTTATTCTGATTGATCATTTATACACTATTCTAATACCTTTTATATTTATTTATTATGAATGTTGTTTTTATATTTATCATGTATACAATATTCTAATTTTTTTATATTTATTTATTATGGATGCCATATTCTAATTTTCTTATATTGCTTGATCATGTATACACTGTTCTAATTGTTTTATATTTATTTATTGATCATCTATACAATATTCTAATTTTTTTCTATTTATTGATCATGTGTACAATACTCTAATTCTTTTTTTATTTATTTATTATGTAAATATTCTAATTTTTTATATTTATTTATCATGTATACAATATTCTAATTTTATTATATTTATCATGTATACAATATCCTAATTTTTTTATATTTATTGATCATGGATGCCATATGGTAATTTTCTTATATTGACTGATCATGTATACACTGTTCTAATTCCTTTTATAATTTTTTATTTATTATGAATGTTGTTTTTATATTTATCATGTATACAATATCCTAATTTTTTTATATTTATTGATCATGGATGCCGGATTCTAATTTTATATATTGACTGATCATGAATACACTGTTCTAATTCCTTTTATAATTTTTTATTTATTATGAATGTTGTTTTTATATTTATCATGTATACAATATCCTATTTTTTTTATATTTATTGATCGTGGATGCCATATTCTAATTTTCTTACATTGATTGATCATGTATACACTATTCTAATTCCTTTTATATTTATTTGTTTATTATGAATGTTGTTTTTATATTTATCATGTTGTTTTTATATTTATCATGTATACAATATGCTAATTTTTTTATATTTATTGATCATGGATGCCATATTCTAATTTTCTTATATTGATTGATCATATATACACTGTTCTAATTCCTTTTATATTTATTTGTTTATTATGAATGTTGTTTTTATATTCATCATGTATACAATATGCTATTTTTTTTATATTTATTTATTCTGATTGATCATGTATACACTATTCTAATTCCTTTTATATTTATTTGTTTATTATGAATGTTGTTTTTATATTTATCATGTATACAATATTCTAATTTTTTTATATTTATTGATCATGGATGCCATATTTGAATTTTCTTATATTGATTGTTCTTGTATCCACTATTATAATTCCTTTTATATTTATTTATTATGAATATTGTTTTTATATTTATCATGTATACAATATCCTAATTTTTTTATATTTATTGATCATGGATGCCATATTCGAAGTTTCTTATATTGATTGATCATGTATACACTGTTCTAATTCCTTTTATATTTATTTGTTTATTATGAATGTTGTTTTTATATTTATCATGTTGTTTTTATATTTATCATGTATACAATATGCTAATTTTTTATATTTATTGATCATGGATGCCAGATTCTAATTTTCTTATATTGACTGATCATGTATACACTGTTCTAATTCCTTTTATATTTATTTATTTATTATGAATGTTGTTTTTATATTTATCATGTATACAATATCCTAATTTTTTTTATATTTATTGATCATGGATGCCATATCCTAATTTTATTATATTGATTGATCATGTATACACTATTCTAATTCCTTTTATATTTTTATTTGTTTATTATGAATGTTTTTATATTTATCATGTATACAATATCATATTTTTTTTATATTTATTGATCATGGATGCCATATTCTAAATTTATTATATTGATTGACCATGTATACACTATTCTAATTGTTTTATATTTATTTATTGATCATGTATACAATATTCAAATTTTTTTCTATTTATTTATCATGTGTACAATATTCTATTTCCTTTTATATTTATTATGTATATAATATTCTAATTTTTTATATTTATTTATCATGTACACAATATTCTAATTTTATTATATTTATCATGTATACAATTTTCTAATTTTTTTATATTTATTGATCATGGATACAATATTCTAATTCTCTTTATATTTATTTATTATGTATAGAATATTGTACTTTTTACATTTATTTATTCCTTCTAACCTCTATTGTATACATAATGAATAAATAGATAAATATGAGAGCATTAGACTATTGTATACATCATGAATTAATCCATATAAAAATTAAAAAATGGTACACATAATAAAAAAATAAATATAAGAGAGAATTAGAATATCGTATACATCATGAATCAATCCATATAAAAATTAAAATATGGTACACATAATCAAAAAATAAATATAGGAATTAGAATATGGTATACATAAGGAATAAGTAAATATAAAAATTAGAATATTGTATACATACACAATAAATATAAAAATTAAAATATTGTATACGTAATGAATAAATAGATAAATATAAAAGAGAATTAGAATATGGTATACATAATGAATAAATAGATAAATATAAAAATTAGGATATTGTATACATACTAAATAAATATAAAAATTAAAATATTGTATATGTAATGAATAAATAAATATGAAAGAAAATTAGAATATGGTATACATAATGAATAGGTAGATAAATATAAAAATTAGAATATTGTATACATGATAAAAAAAATAAAAAGAGAATTAGAATAGTGTATACATAATGAATAGGTAGATAAATATAAAAATTAGAATATTGCATCCATGATAAAAAATAAATAAAAAGAGAATTAGAATATTGTATACACAATAAGTAGATAAATATAAAAATTAGAATATTGTATACATGATAAAAAATAAATAGTTAGAATATTGTATACATAATGAATAAGCAGATACATATAAAAATTAGAATATTGTATACATGATAAACAAATAGAGAATTAGAATATTGTATACATGACGAATAAATAGAGAATTAGAATATTGTATACATAAGGAATAAATAAACATAAAAATCAGAATCTTGTCTACAAACTAAATAAATATAAAAATTAAAATATGGTACACGTAATGAATAAATAAACATAAAAGAGGATTAGAATATGGTATACATAAGGAATAAACAAACATAAAAATCAGAATCTTGTCTACATACTAAATAAATATAAAGACCAGACTCTTGTAGACATAATAAATAAATATAAAAAATTAGACTATTGTATAATCAATTAACCAATCAATAATTAAAAAAAAACCTCCCTTCTCCAGCCCCTTAGCATCCGAGCCGTTCCCACGCTCAGTTCGCACAGTGCATTCTGGGAAAGTCCAAGGAGAGGGGCTCCCTGATGGCCAAGGTCAATAACCTCGCCCCCCCTGGCATTCTGGGAAAGTCCAAGGGGAGGGGCTCCCTGACAGCCAAGGTTAATGACCTCCCCCCCTGCGGTGCATTCTGGGAAAGTCCAAGGGGAAGGGCTCTCTGACAGCCAAGGTCAATGACCCCTCCCTCCCCCCACCCCACGGTGCATTCTGGGAAAGTCCAAGGGGAGGGGCTCCCTGACAGCCAAGGTCAATGACCCCCCCCCCTGCAGTGCATTCTGGGAAAGTCCAAGGGGAGGGGCTCCCTGACAGCCAAGGTCCATGACCTCCCCCCCCCCCCCCCCCGCGGTGCATTCTGGGAAAGTCCAAGGGGAGGGGCTCCCTGACAGCCAAGGTCCATGACCTCCCCCCCGCGGTGCATTCTGGGAAAGTCCAACGGGAGGGGCTCCCTGACAGCCAAGGTCAATATCCTCCCCCCCCCCCCCCCGCGGTGCATTCTGGGAAAGTCCAAGGGGAGGGGCTCCCTGACAGCCAAAAATCGAGGCCACGGTCAGGAAGGCCCCCCATGCAACCCCCCACCCCAGTGCATTCTGGGATCGAGGTCCCCCAAGGACCCCCACCCAGGTGCATTCTGGGACCGAGACCACGGTCAGGGAGGCCCCCCAAGGACCCCCCCCACCCCGGTGCATTGTGGGACCGAGGCCACGGTCAGGGAGGCCCCCAAGAACCCCCAGCCCGGTGCACTCTGGGATCGAGGCCACGGTCAGGGAGGCCACCCAAGAACCCCCACCCCGGTGCATTCTGGGACCGAGGCCACGGTCAGGGAGGCCTCCCAAGGACCCCCCACCCCGGTGCATTGTGGGACCGAGGCCACGGTCAGGGAGGCCCCCCAAGGACCCCCCCCACCCCGGTGCATTGTGGGACACAGGCCACGGTCAGGGAGGCCCCCTTGGACCCCCCACCCCGGTGCATTCTGGGACCGAGGCCACGGTCAGGGAGGCCCCCCAAGGACCCTCACCCCGATGCATTCTGGGACCGAGGCCACGGTCAGGGAGGGAGGCCCCCCCAAGGATTCCCCCACCCCGGTGCATTCTGGGACACGCTCACCGGAGCGGGCCCGCGGGGAAGCTCAGCGCCTCGGGGCCGGCACGGGGGCGGCTGGGGCGGTGATGGCGGCGGCGGCCCGGGCTGAGGCCGCGCGACCTCCTCGTCCTCCCGTGGGCCGCGGGCGCCCGTCCCAGTAGTCCTTGGCCATGGCTGCCGGGCCCGGGCCACCGCCGGCGGGGGAGGAAGAGGCGGCGGCGGCGGAGGAGGAGGAGGCGGAGGAGGCGTCCCGGTCACCCGGCCATGAGCTGGGCCGCTGCGGACGAGGCTCCGGTGCTCGCAAGCGCCCGCTGGGATTCGGGTGTTCACGACGGCTCGCGGGGACGCAGCGGATCCCAGGGCCCCACAGCCAGCTGCGCCGCGGTCCACGCATGCGCACGCACTCGCTGGAAAGGAAGAAGGAGGAGACTCACCTCGGACTGAGTGTACCAAAAGACCTGTCTGCAGCGGAAGGGGGTGCGGCCATGGCGGGCCCACCGGGGAAGGTGGCGCGGGCCCCGGAATGGCGCCAGGGGTGTAGACAGGGGGTGAGGAGTCAGTCTTGATCTTGCCAGAATTTTAATAGCATCAAGGTGAGCAGCAGCCAGGAGCCCGGCGTAACAGTTACCTTTTGATTCCCCTACAGTCTCACTTGGTACACCCTCATGGTAGCACACGGGAATTTTGCAAGGAGGAAAAGAACTGGTGAGCCTAGAAGTCCTAGTCCTTTGTGGTGCCTCTGGAAACAAGAATTTAAAGGCTCCAGATGACTTTCTAGGCGAGGTGTCCTGAATTATCATTGGCCTTTCCTACCTTAGATAGGACAACCTAGCCCCGCCCTGCAGCCCTCCCTCCACTTCCAGCGCGTTACCCACTGTGAAACGTATGTAGCCCCACCCTTTAAAATTTGTCGCTCAGCCAATCAGACTTGTTCCCTGTGGTGGGGCTGACCAAGAATGAGGGGCGTGGCAAAATTGGAAGAGGCGTGATCTCGCTTTCCCCTCAGCTTGCCTCGTCCTTTGCACGCTTTTTATTGGTTTTCGGGCTCGCCTTTTTGTTCTGAGCGCCTCTCAGAATTTTTCTGAAGATCCCGTAATATAATAGGCCCAAAGAGCTCTCACTCACTTGGGTCGCTCCCTAACCATTTACCATGCTCTCCTGTAGCTTTTTGGTGTGGTTGAACCTGGGCTGAGAGGAAAGGCAAACGTTTAAGAGGTGCAGGATCCAATACAGAGCTGTTAAGAACTTTGGCTTCTTGCTTCCTCACCCTAACATTCGCTTACATGCTCCCCTGATTGGGTTTTCTTGAAACATTTCAATTACCTCATCTTGCCCAGCACTGACTTATTTACTTACTAGGCTCTTTTACATGGCCAACTGCCAAGCACATATTTAACCTCTCATTCCTCTCCCTAGAAAATGATTCCCCATATCTATCCCAAATATTGCTGCAGGCCTTCTGAGACTTACACTGGACGAAGGAACTTCCTTGCCTCTTCTGGGCTTCCCTTGGTCGGGCCTTCCTGCCTTCCCTTCTCCCTTCCTTCCCTGTTAGGATTTTCAAGCAAGGTTCATTGGCAAGGATTTAGTCAGCCATTAAAGACCTAGGATAGACATCAGGTCTGTCACTTAACTGACTTAATCTCTTACCCTTCCTCTCACAACAGGAACAATTCTACTTGTTCTTGACTATAGCAGACACAGTTGAGCCTCTAGGACTTCATACTTACTTGTTCCCTTTGCCTGGAATGCATTTGCCCTATATCCATACTCCTCGTTTCTTCCTGTTGCAATCCCATTATTCCAGATCCCCACTTGGCTCTATGCCTTTCGAAAATGTGTTTTTAAATTTCTAGATGTTTATTTATTTGCAATATTAAAGTCCATTCCCAACCTTGCGTGTGCTCCACCGTTGAACGGCCTTGGTCAACACTTGTTTTGTATTTGGACAGGGTCTTTTGTAGCCCAAGCTGGCCTTGAGTTCACTGTGTAGTGAATGACCTTGAAGTCTGGATTCTCCTGCCTGCACCAGTCAAATGGGATTACAGACACCACCACACTTAGTTTTCTTTTCTTTTCTTTCTTTTTTTTTTTTTTTTTGATTTTTTTCGAGACAGGGTTTCTCCGTAGCTTTTTGGTGCCTGTCCTGGAACTAGGTCTTGTAGACCAGGCTGGCCTCGAACTCACAGAGATCCGCCTGCCTCTGCCTCCCGAGTGCTGGGATTAAAGGCGTGCGCCACCACCACCCGGCGGCTTGATCAACTTTTAAACAATTAAAAAAATAAATAATGGGACTGAGGCTGGAGAAATGGCTCAGTAGTTACAAGCACTTGCTGCTCATTCAGAAGACCTGAATTTGGTTCCCAGTACCTGCATTAAGTGGTTCAGAACTGCCTGTATCTTCAGCTCCAGGGGATGTCATTCTTGTAAAATATCTAATTACATGGAGTAAACACAAATGGACACAAATGTTTCATTTTACATTTTTCACTTGCTTTTCTCATCGAGTGTGGTTCCCTATAGTTAGCACTTTGACCAATAGTATAAACAATATGAAACTAGCAGATGGTGGTGGCAGTTGGGAGACAGGCCAGCCTGATCTACAGTTAGTTCTAAGACAGTCAAGGCTACACAAAGAAACCCTGCCTCAAAAAAACAAAATAAAAAACAACAAAATAAACCCCAAACTAAAAAAAAAACTAAAAAGGACCTTAGTCCATCAGAATGTTACATAGTGAGGATGCCCTTTTAGCCTCCTCCCACGTCCACATGGCATAACTCTTAAAACACACACACAACACATACCTGGGACACATTGAAAAAATTTTATAGGCCAGGCATAGTGGTACACCCCTGTAATCTCAGCACTCTCAAGAGGCAGAGGCAGGTGGATCTCTGAGTTTGAGGCTAGCCTGGCCTACATATCTGGTTTCAGGGCTACATAAGAGACCCTGTCTCAAAAAAAAAAAGGCTGAAAGGATGGCTCAGCAAGTAAAGGTACCTTCTTCCAAAATTGCATCAGTTCCATCCCTGGAACCCATATGATGGAGAGATCTCCACATATACACTATGGCATGTGACCCCCCCCCATTAAATGAATGGAATCCAATTTTAAAATTTTGTGTATGGACACACTTGTATCATGGCACACAAGTGAAGGTCAGAAGACAACTTGCAGGAGCTGGCTTTCTCCCTCACCAAGTGGTACTTGGGAATTGAACTCAGGTTGTCAGGCTTGATAGTTACATGCTGAGACATTTTATCAACTTAGCTTGGTTTGAAACAAGACTTCACATAAGCCAGGCTAGCCCAAACCCTTCTCTTCCAACTATCTCCCCAGTGCTGCAATTACAGGTTTGTACTACCTCACCCAGCTCTATACAGAACTGGGGATTGAACTCAGTTTGGTGCATGCTAGGTAAGCAATAGCTACAGCCCTAGCCCATGTTTAAAAAATGATTGTGTATAAGTGTTTTGTTTGCAGGCACATGTGTTCCATGTGTGTGCTTGGTGTCCAGATCAAAAGAGGACATTGGATCCCTCGGGACCATGGTTATATCATTTTTTTTTTTTGGTTTTTTTTTTTTCGAGACAGGGTTTCTCTGTGGTTTTGGAGCCTGTCCTGGAACTAGCTCTTATAGACCAGGCTGGTCTCGAACTCACAGAGATCCGCCTGCCTCTGCCTCCCGAGTGCTGGGATTAAAGGTGTGCGCCACCACCGCCCGGCGGTTATATAGTTTTGAGCAGGCATGTTGGTGCTGGAAGCCCAAACCAGGGTCCTCTGGAAGAACAGCCAGTGCTACTAACTGCTGAGCATTTCTCCAGCCCTTCAGCTTTAGTTAGTTGTGCGTATTATGTAAGTTTTATAAGCCTTAGGAGAGATGTTTTATTTGCTAATGTCTCAAATACCTATAATAGTGGCACAGTCACTATTAAACAAATAGTCGAGTAATTGGCTGGCAAATAGTTCCAGCACAAGAAGCACTAGCTCTTGTTCTATCTCTTAAGTCTGCTAAGTACAGGGGGCCCAACACTGGTTTGCTGAGCAGTCCTGTTTCCGACCAGTCTGGTTTTGTATTGATATATACACAGCAGTAAAATGGTATGCACGGTAGTGATCTAAGATACAGCCAGGATTAGTGGGTAACTAGCTGTTCTAGTTTTTTGGTCTCATGTAGCCCAGGCCACCTCCAGAGTACTGGGATTACAGGCATGGACCATGGTTTCAGAAGTTGGTATCAATGGACAATGATATCATATATAAGAGAATCAATCCATCCAGGAGTAGTGTTGGTAAAGATACTAAAATGTCCAGAGAATCAGTTTTAACGAAAGAGGTAGAAAACAAAGTATGTAGGATGCCCATGAAGGAACTGAGATGGTAGAAAATCAGTGCAAAGAATAGTATATTTTCTGCTTGCCTGTAATGTGCTGACAGTAGGAAAACTCTAAACAGATGGTACCACCATGAGACACCAGAGGTACAGTACCTCTGTCATACAAAGTGCTATGATGAGGGACTAAAAAGGAACTATATGGAAGGATAAGTTCACTCCAAAACATCAGGCCAAGAAAAAAAAAAGTATGGACAGAGGTAGGCAAGAGTAAACACTGCCTAGGGCCAGGAGCTGATTTAGGAGGTAGATATGGGAACAGGTTATGATGGGAATTAGGCCAAGTCTGGGAACAACAACAAACCCATCCACCATGGATGGAGATGGCCAGCTAGGTTGGCGTTTTCTTTTTCTTTCTTTGTTTTTTCGAGACAGGGTTTCTCTGTGGCTTTGGATCCTGTCCTGGAACTAGCTATTGTAGACCAGGCTGGTCTCAAACTCACAAAGATCCGCCTGCCTCTGCCTCCCGAGTGCTGGGATTAAAGACACGTGCCACCACTGCCCAGCAAGGTTGGCGTTTTCAACTGTTTGGAACCCTCAGCTGAGACAAGGAAGTAGCACAGCAGCTCTGGGCTTGGTGGAGCCATTGATGAGCCTTTTGCTATTACCTGCATTAATCAATTACTCTTTGGCCGGCCCCACAGCCAGCTCTTCTTTGGAAGGTAGGAGGCCTGGGTATCTCTGAGCACCTTCAAGGTATGAGCAGAATGAAGCAGAAAAGAGACACAGTGTTCTCCAGATGTCCTTAGCCAAGAATGCCCATAAAA